TGTGTGTGTGTGTGTGTGTGTGTGCGTGTGTGTGTGTGTGTGTGTGTGTGTGTGTGTGTGTGTGTGTGTTAAATTATTGAGAATATAGTTTCAAGTATGTAAATTTTTACAGATAAAGATATGGTTCCAAAACAGGCGGACCAAGTGGAAAAGAAAATATACTAATGACGTTGAATTATTGGCGCAACAATATTATTCGAGCCTAGGAATTCCAGCACCTCGTCCCATTTTTGTTGGGGATCGATTGTGGTAAAAAAGCCTAAGTCTTTGCATTAATGAAATATAAATTATCTCATGTTTTTATACATATAGTACAATAACAATGTACTTTTAGGTTTTTTAATTACCCAGGACAACCACAACCGGGAGTACCACTTCTCCCACAGTATTTAGCGCCATTGCCATTGCATTCTGCATTGCCTGTTGTACAAGCGCTACCCAGTAACTTGTCGGTAAGACAACAAACATCTATTTTCCAAAATATACCGACCAATCATATTACCCATCTTACTCAGAGATTGGACTTCAGGCATCATGATCCTTAGATGATGCAGGTGCATCATCGGTGGTGAACAATGTAAAACTTAAATAATATTATATGTGTCATATGCGGCGTAATATTAAAATTAATAAAAACGGAGATGTTTCATCATTCATTTAAATACTAAAAAAATAAATTTGATTCCAGAGAATATAGAAGATATTTCTATAGAAGATAAGTATAAACATCTGTGCTCCATCTAACTCGTATTAGCTTGAAATTATATTTAGATAAATACATTATTGTTTGTCCGGGAAAAAATACTTTCGTGTAAATAAATCACACTTGTAAAATATAATAGTGTCTATAAATGAATTTATTATAAAAATCCGCAAAATTCTGTGATGTAAAGTTTGTATAAGGAGCACATAAAAATAATAAGTCTTCAATATGTTTGTACAATTATTAATATTTCTTTATACATTTATAAGAATACATAGAATATATGTTCAAAATAAATATAACTTCTTAATACTATTAGATATAAATTAAGTATATGATATTATAATCATTAAGAAAAAAAGAAAATTGAGAACAAATTGATAATATATATATGTATTAAGTTTATATAATTAATGCAAATTAATATCACTTTTAAATTTTATGTTATATAAAATCTTTATTATAACTATTATACAAAATTTATATTTATTATCACAGAGCAGAAGGAGACAATATTTTACCAACTCCCAAAATTTTTTCATCATGGGCTGCCTGATCTTGAATAATCTTTGCATATCTTTCATTGTCCTGCAAATCTTCTTCATCCAGCATTTCTTGCATTCTTTGCTTGTATCTAAAATCCTTTTGTGTTATACAAATAACATAATTTAAAACTAATAATATTAAATTTACATATATACTTACATTTCACTATCAGGATTATTTTCTTGATTTCTGCATTTATCTAATTTCTTTTCTAAAGCTCTTACTACTTCTCGTGATGGTGGCTCCACACATTTAGCCATTGAGCGTATTTCTGTATAAATTTTTACATATGAATAATTTATAATAAGTGTGCAAATTCATACAATATATAAGATATTACAATATATAAGATATATATATTTACTGCGAACAGCTTCTATAATTCCTCCTAATTGTTCTCTTGAAAATAATATATCAGTAACATAATTGTCCAAGTTTGCATTAGCTTTGGATGCTGCGTGTAAAGTTGCAGCCAATGCAACTTGACTCGGAGCATAAAGAAGAACACTGTCTGTCAAAAAAACTCTTTCTAAAAACTCATCTATATATTGTCTTAATTTTTCAGGGTTTTCCAAAGACATATACCTTGTCTGCAAAAATAATTGTGATGTATTTATACCATACTATGTATTTAACAAATAATTACATACCTTTATATCAATCATCAATCCTTCTACAGGTCTAAATGGATTGTGAACTGTAAGATTATAATTCAACTGCTGCATTAGAAGCAGCTCATTATTAAGAATAATATCAGATGCTTTGTCTCTATCACCTTTAATATTTGCTACAAATTGGGATATAGAAACATTAAATTCTTCAACCTGAAACAATATTTACATGTGAAAATTAATATTATAATAAATATTGTGAAAATTGATATAATAAATATTGTGAAAAACATTGATATACTAAGGAAAATTACTTTGCATGCTAGGTAAACACAAGTGACCAAGATTTCTTTTGGATGATAGTCCATTACACTGTTCCTCAGATAAAATCTTTTAAAGTAATGTAAGGCAGTAGCCACAGTGGCACGAGGCATTGGTGGATTAAAACGTCGACAGAAGTCTCTCAATTGTAATTCATAGAAACGAAGTAGTGTACGTTCTTCACTATGTGAGAGAAAATGTTCCTCCTTTTGTTCTGTCTATTCAGATAATAAATTGGATATTATGGATCAGATAATAAATTGGATTACATGATTATAATTATATCATATATAGGAAATAACTATTACTAATAAACACAGTACATATTTAGTAAATTTACAATAAGCAGCATCACCATAACTTAAATTTTCAACATCAACATTGCATCAATTACATCAATATTGATATTTGATCTCATTAATTATATCACATGTACAGAAAAAAAACATTTTAACAAAGCAATTTAAAAGAAATGATAGTTAATCGAGCATGCACGTGTATTGTATAAAAAATGGATTTACATTCATGTTAGCTCCGTGCTTAACAATAAAATCAGCATTAGTTTTCTCCCTTAATGTGGTTAAGTCGGTTTCATCGCTGAACATCCAGTGTTTCTTTTGTGTACTTTGTGGAAACATCTTAATTGTATACGTAATTAAAAAATAAATAAAAACGAATTAAGAGCCGGTAGGAGTCGAGGACAAGTCCTGACTTGACTCTGGAAGCTTAGTAAACAACAACACCAATCACTGTTCTGTGTGCTTAGTTATTCTTCTTCTTCTTTTTATTTTACTTGCACTCAGACTTTTCTCTATTGCCCTTTCATCCAAAATACCGATATAAATTAAAAAAAAAAAAATCAGATCCGAACACGCTTAATGTAACGGCGGTTAGGCCGGAATTTGTGTGCGTTGTATATATGTAATACTACTATATTGGTAATCGCCCTATGCTGCCTATAAGAAGAACTTATCCCAAAATGGAAGGACAGACGATGTCCGAGGAGTGTATTTTGATCGTAGTGCGCAGGCGCGATAAGATGATATATATATATATATATATATATATATATATATATATATATATAAAGTAAAGTTGGCCACACACACTTTCCGTAATAGTAAGCCCTCACACATGAAATGACATAACATTGCATGTACATAGCATAATACTGTATGGACTAATGAGTATCGAGTATTGAGCATCAAGCATCAATATGGCGGCTAAATACTCGATACTCATTGATCCATACAGTCTTATGCTATGCACATGCAGTTATGTCGTTTCATGTGTGAGGGCCCTAAAGGCCAAATCACACTAATGATTGGCGATTGATAATTGACGATTGAAGATTGGAACTTGACCAATTAGAACAAAGCAAGCCAAGGTTGAAGCTCGTTGATTCGTCAAAATCTAATCTTCAATCGTCAATCATCTATCGCCAATCGCTAGTGTGATTTGGCCTTTAGACGTAACATAAGAATTGACCAATCATGTTGAGAATCGTCGAATTGTAAGGTCGCCATTTTTGTGAATACTCGATCGTAATTGGTCAATTCTTTCGTTACGTCTTACGGTTAGGCTGGGAGCACAGGCTTTTGCATAACGCATAACGCATAAGGGAATCAACTAATCAGAGACCTTTATTTCCCTCTTCAGGATAGAAATAAATGACTCTAATTGATTGATTTCCTTATGCGTTATGCATTATGCGTTATGCAAAAGTCTGTGTTTAGGCCCTTACTGCTACGGAAAGTGTGTGTGGCCAACTTAAAAGTGCCAGTGCGTGACATGTACCTAACCTGGATAGCTGCTTCTTCATCTGTGTAAATTGATATTTTCATTTGCAACTGCTTTTTTTCTTATAAATAGCATCTCTGGGTGCTCATGTTTATAGCATATGGTATATATAACCTATTATATACAACTTTGTACAATATATTTTATTTTCCCATTAGCGAATACAATCTATCTGACGCATGCGCATAACGTTCATAATAAACGTTCATAATTTACTCAGAAAAAGAGAGAAATACATATTCCTGCATCGTAGTTCCCGCACCGGACTTCTCTCTCATTTAGCAATATAGTAGTATTACATATATGGTGAATATATGGGATGCCTTAACAAAAATGGCCGTCACTTTTTGCCTCAACTGTAACTAGGGAGTTAGTAGTCTAGTAGTTTAAAGAAGTCTGTGGTTCTAACTAACATATAAGGCGCACTTTGTTAGATGGCGTCTCGAAAGTGCGCCTAGTAAAGTCACTAGATATATAGGCCGGTATTCATAGTCGAATTTTATTTCAAGACTGTTTTAAGTAATGTCTTAAGATGCGAATACTGCTCTGTGATTGGTTCATGACATCTTAAGACAGTATTTAAGATGATCTTAAATATAAGATCGGACTATAAATATCGGCCTATGTCACGTATACTATAGATTTTCAGTATTTACAGTAAATATCAGAATGCAGACTTTATAGGGAGTTTGCTAGCGTCATTACTATTATTCCAAGTTCCATATTTTGAACTCTCTTTTCTCGCTAAGAGAAAAGTGATTGGCTATCAGCTATTTTTAGAGTTTCTAAAAGTAGCTGATAGCCAATCACAAAGCTTATAAAGTCATTTTTAGAGGTGATTATATTAAGTCTGTTCTTTTTCGTTGCACTGGTGCAATAAACGTGAAACAAACATATATTTGTCTCATTCCAACTTATTTCAGCAGTACAGAGCTATGTTCAGAAATCCTACTCGATTAGTACAGTAACATTTAATTGACCAATCAAGGCAAAAAGAACTAAGATTTATTTATTATGATTGATTTATATAAGTAAAGCCAGCGGCGTACGATGCTTGTTTTCATGCTGGATTGCTTGCTGGATGGAAATACTCTGTTCTGATTGGTGCATTTCTGAAGACGTATCAATCAGAATAGAATATTTCCATCCAGCAAGCAATCCTAAGTATTACACGTTTTATACGTTTTAATACGTATTATACATATTATACGTATTTTATCGTATAATTTAAAAAACCCGAGAAAATGCTCGAAAAACCCAACCCTGCTCGTGGTTGTTCTTAGGCTTCTCTCTGCTATCAGCATATTATCTACCGATGGGAATAGCTTAAGATTATTGATTCTAGAGTGCAGCACTAATCACATTTCAAAGTGATTTTCAGTCGATATAGCCAGAATCTGCATGTCTTACCGTTATACATCACTAAATATTCTCTCTTGCAGAGAAAGTATTGTATATATTTAAAACTTGAATGTGTACATATCTTTTTATTATTATTATACAGAAATATACAAAAATATGCAAAATTATGATTTACTCAATTACAAAATGCATGTTTCTTATTATAATTTTTCACAATTTATCTATTAATAGTTAAGTAAGAATCATCAAACTTTAAATAATATAATCGTTATATATAAACGAAATGCTGTTCTCTATGATTAAAATAATGATGTCTCTGATGTGCTTAAGATGTTTTTTATGAAAATTCTTAGTATATTTTTTATTAAGTTATAAAAGGGAAAGTAATTAAAAATCTATATCCCAAATTCGAATTTTTTATCTTTTTAAAATAGAAGTTGTAATCACACATATCTTTTAACTATAATAGAATTGTGAGACCTAATATTACATTAAATGTAATTCAAGTATAGAGATTGTGCCACCTTTATACGATTGTACAAGGGTGATTGAATTCCAAATATATACAGCTACTCTCTCAACCGACTGCACCACTTGTAACATACCTTGGAAAAGGGTCGCTACGTTTTCTGGCAATAGATATGTACGCGCGGGTAATAAACAAGATCACGAGACTGGTCGATGGTGGGGTATGACGGGTGGAAAAAGGGATGAATGGAGGGAGGGACGGGTGGCCGATTTTAATATGGACGCCCCCGCAAGCGGTTGTGCGTCCGATCTGAGTAGGCGTTCCTACGACCCTTTGTCAACCGACAACGCCGCTGCATCTTATCGCGATCGCAGTCGGGGATCTCCCATTCCGCTTCTCCGCCACGTTCGGCCCTCGAGGCCATCGCTGTCGCTGCCGCTTGTTCAAGCAGAGAGACGTTGGGCCCTTCCACCCGTTATATCGGCGGCTATAACTCTCCGCGTCGTTTTTTCAACGCTGGTTTACGTTGCCGCGACTTCGTCGTCGTCGTCGTCGTCATCGTCACACTATGCGATCTGGCCTGCCGATCTTTGTCCGGTACGCAGTTGCAGTCTAATCGCATCGATCAGAGACAGAAACTGGTTCGTTCTGCCGCGGATTTATATATGACGATGCGGCTTGCGTGAGTAGACGTAAGTCTGGTCTACGATGTTCCGGAATTTTTCGAATGGCTAACTGTATTCGGTAGCAACGATAAGTCGATAAATATGTATGCGCTGAACCATCTGATAGATCGCAAACATCGTTGATACACGTTTAACACGTGCCTGGCTATATGACCCAAGGCTCAAGTCAAGAGTTTGAGCGATGGACTTTCTGTATCATTAACATTCAAAAACTGAAAGTTTTCTGGAGCATTCCAACTATAACTTTTACCTAAAATAAGATATCGAATTTGGGACTGACAGACGATGTATGAAGCCTACTATACTCCGCCACTCGAGGAGCTTAATTTCTGTGGAAATTCCGTAACGGCCGGAGAAATGTGGCCACCCCTGAAAGTGAAGTACATCTGCCATTAATCTAATATTGCGGTCGCCGCCGCCCTCGACATTGCGTGCTACAACCCGCCGCGTTAAGCTTCGCTCCCTTCAAACGAACGGAGTCGAACGACGAGCGCACGTGAGCGTTGTGTACACATCGGTATCGGCGGGAAGAACGAGAAGGAGGTGGATGGAATAGGCGCGATGTGTCGGTCGCACTAATGCGAAATCAATGCTCGGCTGAGCTCGCGAGGTGTGACGGATAAAGTGGATTACTTTCGCACCCTTGTAGCCCAATGCCTCACCGCAATCAAGAGAAATTTTCCAGCAAGTTGGAAGGTACCAATATATTATTGTCCGTTGTGGCACAGCATGGCCACGACAGTAGGGATGAACATCGATGGCATTGCCAATTATTTGCAATTTTCGGAAAACAGGAATGTTTTAATGTGTGACTAATGTGCGTGCTGTCATATATTGAGCTCTAATATTATATATCGAAATGTTTCTATCATGGATATGATAAATAAAATTATATGTAAATGAATGAAACATGCGTATGTGTAGAAGAAAAGTTCCAAGTATGGACGGCCACTTTAGTTTTCTTTATATCTTAAAACATTGTTATATAACAATGTTATATTAGCGTACAAAATTTTTAATTAAACTAATATTATATCCTTTAATATATACATTCATAGCTCCTAAAGCAATTACATTAATATATGTATGTTTCTATATAAAAAATAAAATATATATGTTTGCACAAATTTTCAGACGTGGAAAAACAGAAAATCTTAACTTCTAAGACCCAGTTCCACAACCTCCGTTTAACTTTAACTACCGGTTAAGTCTCAACAGTGATTGGTTAATTCTGATTAACTCTTCTTAACACTAAATGCGATTGGTCAAGTCCAATGGAATAACCGATCAGTTAAGTTAACTAGAGGTTGTGGAACTAGACTTAAGCCAACTTGAAAACAACCATGCAATAAAATTTCGTGGAAAAAATTACTTAAAATTACTTAAAATTACTTAAACATTGGTTGTGTGGACGGTTACCAATGTTTGACTCTGTATAGTGTTAGGACATGATTTATATTTGGACCTTATCCTATATATATGTATATTTTTGCAGTTTATATAGAATAATTAATACAAGAATTATATCTATATTTGTAATATGTTTATATGCTTAATATCCAATATGGACGATCTAGATAGATTATAAAGTTTAATTAGTAGAGCTAATAACGTAGCAAGATTACTAACTACTTTGGTGAATAAGGTCTTCACGTAAATATACTTATATGGACGATACAACCTGGTAAACACACAC